TGTCGATATTGTTAAAAGTGGTCATAATCATTAGCGCAAATAAAGGGTCTTTAGTTCCCTCCTAGTAATTTTCTCTTTTTTTTTTTTGAGTGACTCAATACTATACTTTCTCGCTAGTTGTAAAAACGTTTCAGTACCCTCAAAAATATATTTCGAGCGTGCTGAATTGCATTAATTAATACGATTTGATAAGAATTCTATGTAATCGAGCCATATTCCGAGTATTAATTTACTATTACTAAAAAGAGTATTACATAGGTTTATATTTTATTTTTATCATTAATATGAAGTGTATTAAAATGAGTTTAAAAAGTGTTTAAGTATCAAGTATCAGTGTTATAGATTTATAACCTATAAGATTATTTAATTATAGGATTAGGGGGTGTGCGGCTAAACCCCCCCCCCACGGCTATGTGGAGAATTTACAAGTGTAGAACCCCACGATTTAAAAATCTATAATTGTACCTAGCTATGGTCATAATTTCGTAAAATTCTACTTATAATTTTATTGATACTATTTTTTCCTTGTGCTTAGGAAAACTATAATGTAAAATTAAATTTCATAATTGTCACTGGTTTCAAAGTTACGTGGAAAAAAAAAGATAAATTTATAAATACATATTATCATTATAATCCGCACTTTGTTCGACGTATAAATTACCTATACTTAATAATATATATTATTATGTAGATATCCATTTATAAACCATATTAATCTCAGTGAACAATTGATTACATTCATGGATGTATGTAATACAATAACATTATTATGTTTCAAAAAATAATATCTAGGACATAGGTCCCAATTACATTTTGTTTTCGTAGTAAATACAGGGTATAACGTATGCCGAAAAAAATATTACAATTTAAAATTAATTTATATAAAAGTATATTGTATACCRACTGATGGAAGTTATTATATTAAATTAAAATGTATTATTTATTAATTCCGCTTTTTTTCATATCAATTTATAACATATTATTTTTAAACCAAAAAGAATATCTTGCAGTCTTACTATCGTTATACCTACATATTTATACGTTTATAAAAATAATTGACCAGTGGCCTAGTAGTCGAAGCAGAAATTGTATAAATTTCAAGACCAATAAAAAAAAAATAAAAATAAAAAAAATAATTGTCGACATAACACAAAACTTTGTGTCAAATGTTTTTCAAGAAAAAATTTTACTTTAAAATTACTATCAGTTATTACTAGGGTTAAATAATTAATAGTATTCAATACATAATATTGTTTTATAAACGTGTTACTATTATTATTTCACTACAGGGCCGTCACGGRAAAGGATCTATATTCGTTTGGGCATCTGGCAATGGTGGGCGGCATACTGATTCTTGCAATTGTGACGGATACACAAACAGCATTTTTACATTGTCAATATCCAGCGCCACACAAGGAGGGTAAGTTCACACTATCAAAACTTAGTTTGCATTACACTGGTAGGATATTAAGCGATGTAATTGACGGTATTTAGTAAATGATACAGTTGTATTAATTATGATGAACTAATATAACCAATATTAAATGTATATAACGGAAGAAAAAATATTTTAGATGATTTGGTTCTTAATCTAATCATTATGTTTATTACCCCCGATATGGTATTTATTGTCATTAACAAAATGAAAGTATTATATATAAAACGTATCCCTACTAATTTCAATTGTAGTCATAAACTTAATTTAGTTTCAACACATTTATAATTTTTTACATTACTAATATACTTTGCCATCTTCTCATCAATACCCACATTAATATATATTTATCTATTAAACATATTTAAGACATACATATTTCATGGGCAGTTTTCAAGTATACTTAACACAATTTGCTTATGCTATGCTATAGTAATGTGATAGATCATTTTAAATTTTATTATTTATTGATAAATGGGCAAGGACCACGCCATATGTATATGGTGTATTGGTGTAAAACTCTACTCATCAAAAGTTTATAGTGGTTTCTACAACAGACAAAAATGTAGAAAAAGTAATAAGGGCATTATGAAATATTAGAATTGCTGTAACTAAAAAGTTAATACTTTTTGAAATATCGAGTGTTTGCTGTTAAAAGAATCATCTTGAATATAAATATTATATTATATACCAAGTTGTTTATTATTAATCTTTGGCATCRTCGTACATTATACCGTAATGGTTGATTTCCATTACTAAATTGATTAACTTTCATGCGTGATATTGTTTCATTTCCTGACTTTTTATAAAAGTAATTTAATATTCACGATGTAATG